TTCGTCCTCCTCCGAGGAGTCAGTGTGGGCGTGGGTCGAGGTTGTGGCGAAGAGGTCGAGGGCGAAACGTTGGTGGCATCTTGAGGGCTCCGTGTGAGCGGAGGCGTAAGTGGAAGCGTACGCGGTGGCGGCATTGCTTAACCCGAAGGGGTACGGGGATGGTGCCATTGCCGGGTTCCACTCCGCCGGAGTCGGTTCCTCAGGACGTGGCGGGGTAGAGCTTGATGGCAGGGCGTCGCTGCGCGCCACCGGCGTCTTTCCCTTGCCCAGGCTTAAGCTAGACAGGTTCCCAGCCAGGGACTCTGCGCCAACGGCCGGGCGTGGGAAACTGGTGGGGCACGGAGCATTGCCCTAAACTTGCATGGTGTTGGGGTGGTTCTGCTCGCGTCGTGCCTAGCGAGCGCGATGAGAGCGGTGGCCCGGGCACCGCCCGCGCCTGGGCTGCTGGTGCGTGATGTCGTTGTCGGCCAACGGGGCTCTGGATGGGAGGAGTACTAGATCGTACTCGTATCCTAGAGACATGAACTCTAGGCTCCCGAACCAGATCACCGTGCCGAGACGGAGTGGTCGTACGGGGTTTGTCATCCGGGACTTGTTGGGATGATTAAGTTAACACGCAGCGTGCCCCTACCTGGCGCACCAACTGTCGGTGGTTTGGACCGGCAGGTCCTCAACCAACGAGTGAAAACGTACTGCGTGTCCCTATCCTAGATGGTGATGCAATGAGACACAAGGTTTATACTGGTTCAGGCAATAGGTGCCCTACGTCCAGTCTGAGAGAGCGATATTGTATTCCTTGCACCGAAGTGCTTGTAGTAGGGGTTTACAAGCAGGGTGAGAGAGGGGGTTAGTCCTAGGTCTCTGCGTGGAGCGGCGTGGGTTGCTTGAGATGTTGATCTCTCGCAGTGAGGGGCGTGCGTATTACAGAGTGTTGTTCATTGCTCGCGCGTGTGTCTATCTGAGCGATGTCTCCGTGAGTGTCTGTGTTCGCTCGTCAGGTGTCTGTCATTGTCCTAGAAACGGCCCCGGTCGCCCCCTTTTATAGTTGAAGGAGAGGACAAGGGCGGTACATGCGTTTGCTACGTGGTGCGTTGTGAGCGGAGGCGGTATGTCCGAGCCCTGCAGCTCATTACTGCGGCGGTATGGTTGATGGAGTGGTCTTGTCCTTGGTACTCTAGAGCGACGCGCCGATCACGCCTGGCCCTATGCGACGTGGGAGCTCCTGTGGTGGTAGGTGCGTTGGAAGCGTGCCGGTTGCTGTACGTTGGACCGGCGCGGAGTGCCGAGGCCGGGTTGATGTGATGGCGCGGGTGTGCTGACTCCGAGGATACAGGAGCTCAGCCCTGTACGCGACGTGGGAGCTCCTGCAGCCTGACGTAGGGTCGCGTTCCACGGGTGACGTGCCGCTGCCAGATTGTTGACAACGTAGAGAGCCGAGGCCCAGTTGATGCAGAGGCCGGGCCATCGTGGGGGGCTCGGCAAGTGCGAGTCTCGAGACTACGGGAGCGAGGAAGCGATTTGCCGAGGCTCGGAGGGAGCAGTTGGTTTTTTATGCTGATTCCGAGACTACAGGGGTCCGGACATGACTCTCCACGCCACACTGTCGTCGGAGCAGGTGGGGTTAGGTAGCACAGTGCCGCATGGGTGTCAGTCGTGGGCATAGTGCCGGGTACAGCGGCTGGTAACCCCTGCCCCGTCCTGTCTCGGACTGCATGGCGCCGATGTGACTCCCGTCCCATCGGCCACTCCGCTATACCGTGCCGGAGTGTGGCTGACGCTCTGTCGGGGTGGTCGGTCAAAGCTACGGCGGGACTGATGCCGGGCCGGCCTCGAGCGAGACGGAGAATCGGTACATAGTTCGAGGCCTTTCGGGTGGGGCCTCGGGCGAGGGGCCTCGGGCGAGGCAGAGAGTTGGTACCTCGTCCGAGGCCTTGCGGCGTGGGCCTCGGGCGAACCGGAGAATCCGCCGAGGCCTTGCGGCGTGAGCCTCAGACGAATCGGAGAATCGGCCGAGGCCCGCGTGGTTGTCTCTTGGCTTTGGTATTTACAAGGTCTAAGCAATTTTTTCGGTTCTTGCTTAGGGTACCCCTTTCTATGGTATCCGACAGATGTTGAACTATATATTTTTTCGATGTTGCAGCACATGATTTTCGATGTTACAGCAAATAATTTTCGATGTTGCAATACATATTTTTTCGATGTTGCAGTTTATATATTCCGATATTGCACTGCATAGTTTCCATATGTTTGCGATGGGATAGGGGGTGCCTTGGGGGAACGGGGTGCATTGAGGAACTGAGACAGGAGCGCGGTGGGGAACGAGACGCGGTGGGGGAACGAGGCAGGTGGGGGACGGGGCGCGGTGGGGGAACGGGAACAGGGGCACGGTGGGGAACGGGATAAGGGCGCGGTGGGGAACAGAGTCATGGGCGCGGGTGGGGAACGGGATGCGGTGAGGGAACGGGACGCGGTGGGGGAGCACTACCTGGGACCTGCGTCCGGACGCCATCATGGGGCGGACGTTCAGGTGCTAGGTATTCCGTTACTTGATCGCTCTTCACACGGATTTCTCCAATGATAATTTCTGATCCTGATAGTTTGTTCTGTCATCCCATCATCACTCATAGGTTAGGATGAAAACGGATCGGGTACGAATGGATACCGGTTTCATACTTCTGTCCGGATTCGGATTCGAATAACCATGCCGGATAGGATACGATTAGATATCGACATTATAAATATGCGATTTTAGTATTCGGATACGGATACGGTTTCAGATGTTGAATATCTAGATTTAGATACGGACAGATCTAAACCCTTCTAAACAGATTCGGTCTCGAATACCGTCGAAAAATATCCGTACCGTTTTGTCCCTGCTGAGGCTATCTCCAACAATGAGTACCCAAAAGCGAGACTCATTCCATGGTATAGGTCATGCACAGTAAAATACATCCCGCACCCAAGTCTTGCATCTCCAACAGCAGACGCAAAAGGAGGTGTGGCGCCATGGAGGACGGGCACGACGGAGCCGAACTCGAGGACGCCACCCTTGCATGGGAGGAAGACGATGGCGCGGATGCCATCTCCGACTGCCTCCTCCCCCGCGACCCTCTCCTCTTCCCCGCGCCGCGCTAGAGGGGGCCCGCCGCGGCTCCCCGTCGCGTAGCTTCTCCGCCTCCGGCACGGGCTCGGGCCCCAGCTCCGCCTCCGCCTCTGGCGCGCGGGAGAGACGAGAGCGAGAGAGGGGCAGCGCTGGCAGTTTGCGTCGCGCGTGGAGGACGACGCAACTTTGCGTCTCCTCTCTCCTCAAACGCAAATTACGTCTTGCGTATTGGTCATCGGTTAGATGTCGATTCTGGTATTCAAAACACCCTCTCAGACGCAAATATGCGTTTGAGGGGCACGGTGATGGAGAAAGTCTGACAGGCAAAAAAAAAAAAGAAAAGAAAAAGAAAAAGAAGACCGCGCAACGTAGGACGAACGTTCCACTCCTCTGGCCGCAGGCCCAGCACCGGTGGGCAGACTATAAATGCCAGCTCGAACCCGCTTTGAAACCCGTCTCGCACGCATACCAGACACCACAAACGAGGGACCCGGGGCGGGGCAAGAGAGAGAAAAAAAAAAGAGAGAAGACGTCTCTCTCCTCTCGCCGTCCCCGATCCCCAACCTCTCGTCTGTTCGCCTGCAAAAGGTTAGAAGAAGAAGCCTTTTCCGTGTGAATTTTTTGGTTGAAGTTTTTCGGCCTCCGCTCTGGTCAGATCGGCGCGGGTGAGCTCCGGCCACCGGCCCCTACTGATCCGGATCCGCCCCCATCGGCTCGTGTGTTATCGCTCCAGTATTTTTGCGTGTATTTTTTTCTCTTCCTTTGTTGGTGCGGATGTCCCCTCCGCCTCTCATCCGCCTCCTCCGTTCCGCCTCTCCCGCCTGCCTCCCGCGCCGTCTCGCCTCCCTCCGTCGTTCCTGGCCGCCGGGCTTCTTCTCCGTCGCCGGCTACGCGCGTGAGGAGGGAGGAGGAGCCGCAGCGCGTGGATCCAGGGGCAGCGGCGTCCATCCCGCGTGAGAAGGGAGAAGGAGACGGTGAGATCTACTTTTTTCAGCTCCTCCATCTCTCAGCACGTTCTGCGGAGATTCGTCGGTGGAGCTGGTTGCTGTGAACCCAACGGGGCCGATCTTTCTCGCAGCGCCGGCGCTCCATCTTCCGTTCCCCTACCCGCGCACCCCCCCCCCCCCACCCACCCACCCACCACACACACACGCGCGCGCTCGGCACGCAGGCGACGGCGTCGGGGCAGTCCCAGGCTCGGCGGCGTCGTCAGAGGCTACCCCTCCCGCCTGTCGCCAGTCGCCTCGCACCCTCGCCAAGGCGGGAGCCAGCAGCCGCTGCTCCACCAATTTTGTCGCGCCGCTTTGGGAGCGCTTATGCCCCAAAACGAAGCGTTGCCTGTCCGCTTAGCGCTGAAGCGTGCGCTTAGTGCCGCTTTTTGGGACCCTGACTTAATCATTGGATGGTGCATAATGTTGATTGGTCTTCATATTGGATTTGGCTGCCAAGTGATATTATTATGACAAAATGATCAAGTATGCAAATCTTAGCAAGCATGAGATCACAGAACCCAATGTTCAAGCTTAGGCACTAGCTGCACAAGCACAACCATCCAAGTATATCGAGCTAAGGGGAAAATTTGTTTGTCTACAGTAGTTGATTGACGTCCTAGACTGAAAACTGAATTTTGAATCAGCCATATGGGTTCACAGATGTTTGATATCAGGACTGTCACACCTTGTGCCGTCTGATTTAATCATGGGCTTGATATTTGCTTCTTGTTTCTTGTGTTGCCCTGCTGAGTTCTCTGCAACACAACAAAATTTCAAATCTGTTGTTCCTCATTGACATCCCTGCTTCCAAATATACAAATAGATATGGTTGACTACAGTCTTTTTACTATGTGTTCATTGACTAACCCATCTTTGTAATGTATATGAAAATACAGGAGTTTGTCATGGCATCGAAGCGTATCCTCAAGGAGCTGAAGGACCTGCAGAAAGACCCCCCCACATCATGCAGTGCCGGTATGATTATGAGTTATTACTGGAACTGTGGATGGGCCAATGTCTTCGCATGCTCACTTTCTTTTCTCCCAATGCCTTTCTCTCACTTCTGATGAACTGCAAATTTCATTTGTACAATGTTCAGGTCCTGCTGGTGAGGACATGTTTCATTGGCAAGCAACAATTATGGGACCACCTGACAGTCCCTATGCTGGCGGTGTTTTCTTAGTGAACATTCATTTCCCGCCGGATTACCCCTTCAAACCTCCAAAGGTTAGAACTCATGAGGTTTATATTGTTTACAAATTCTCTCTTTTATTATCCAGTTCAGTGATGGTGTATTATGCACTATTCCAAGCTTTATAGTTTTGCATAGCTTGATTGTGGTTACTTTTGATAAGTATAGATTTCTTCAGGGTAAAAACTTATGAACAAAATGGTTCTCTGCTTTTCCTCCTTATCTTGCTAGTATCATCATGCTGGGGGAGACATCATTCAGCATTATCCATTCTGCTATGTAATAGCTTCACCTTTCTGTTAGTGCTTTTCTCTATGGTCAACTAATAATATGGTTGTAGTTTTTTGTTAGCTGGCACAAAAAAACATATTTTAGTTTTTTTCCTGGTAATGCATCGAATTCTGGATGAAGTATCCCTGTTATACCCTTTCACAATTGTAGTTTGCAAATGTGTTAGTGATTTGTTACTCCTGAGGCTGTAGTCTTAAGCTACACTCAGATTATCTCAAAAAAAAAACTTTTCATGTTATAACAATTTCAAGAAAAACGGTACTATTAAGAATATCATGTACTGTATGTGTGTCTGACATACCCATCTTCATGACCTATTAATTATCTGCTTTGGCATATTCCATCAGTGGCTGGACTTCTTTATCTGCCATCCCAGTCTGGCGGTTGCTTTACTTATATTATATTGTTTGAACTTTTTCATTTTATTTAATCTTTGTTGCCCTGTTCAATTTAGGTTTCTTTCAAGACAAAGGTCTTCCATCCTAATATCAACAGCAATGGAAGTATATGCCTTGACATTCTCAAAGAGCAGTGGAGCCCTGCTTTGACAATTTCTAAGGTCATCCTGAACACTCATCTTTTTTCTACATGTGATATACCTTCCTCTTTTCATATATATTTTTTTATGTTTATAAAATGAGTAAATCTAAATTTGGGATGACACAGCATTGTTATACTGATGGTTATCACTTATTTTGCATTGATTAACTTAGCATAAATTTGGTTCTTATATAATCCAAACTTGTTATGTACATCTTGAGAATAGGAACATTCACTGTCTAATCTTTGATGTACCAAGACATAATAGTGTATATCTAATTGCATAGCAAAAGGTATCTAGAAAAATCAAAACGTTTTATAATTTGTAATGGAGGGAGTACTAATCTTTTTGGGAGCCGTCCAGCTGAAAACGAATTGCATATTATATCATGTTGGAAATGACATGTTATGTTGTGTTTGTACTCCTGAAACAGAACAAAGATGCCATGATGCTCTGGTCTGTTGCTTAACGGTGTGTTGCTTTGTTGGATGTTCCAGGTCCTGCTCTCCATCTGTTCCCTGCTGACTGACCCCAACCCGGACGACCCTCTTGTCCCTGAGATTGCCCACATGTACAAGACGGACCGGCCGAAATACGAGTCAACAGCCCGCAGCTGGACGCAGAAATATGCGATGGGCTGATGAATACCTCCTGCTCATCCCCTGATGATTCTCGTGTCGTCTCAAGAAACGTTCATGGGCGTCATTGTTTCCTTGGATTTGTTGCTGGTCGTGTGTGTCCCTGATCCATCTAGGATCGTATTGTAGTCGATGTTGGCCTACCATCATTGCCATCCATAGTGAGGTGGTTGGACATGCTTTTGCCTATGCACCTATGCTTGCTGGGATACCTTCCTTCGGGTCGGTGCTATTTGGTAAATGTTCATCGAAGACATTGATTCCGTTGCCTCTGGCTCTTTGCATGCCCATGTGAATCATTTTGAATGTAGGCTGTTCCTTACCATGTTCTCGTTCATAGGCTTGTTAGTCCGGAAGTATATGTGGCCGCAGAAGGTTTACGTAACACATTTTTTAAGGTAGTCTGCTTGAAACTAGGTATTGCATTGCGTTGCGTGAAACTAGATTGTTCATAGGAATCGTAGAGCCTGGGAGTAATCTGGGTTTATATTTTCACTCCGTTCGTTTCGTTGAAAAAACAAGTCAAAATACTGTCTCGGCTGATTTGTTGTGAGAGAAAAATACTGTTTCGGCTAAAAAAAAACTGAAGACCATTCCGGCGTCTAAAATTATACCATGGCTCGGAGCATGTTGCTCCACAGAATTAGTTCAGTAGATTTCTTCATCTTCAGTACATGCACAACGCGCTTACGTGGTATACCTCTAGTCGCAACTCGCCAGCGAAGTGCGTCTCTTTCCACCTTGGCGGCGAAGCAGGCAAACAGCACCCGTTCCACTTCCACCATGGTGGCGCGAAGCAGTAGCCGGCTCGACACGGTAAGCCATCTGTTGCCGTGTTACTGTCACACCTTGCGGCTGCTGCAGCAGCCGCACCTTGCGGGCAGCAGCAGCAGAGATGCGCCTCGTGGCCACCGATTGCTTGGTTGCCATCGGCACCTGCCGCAGTGCCGCTCCGCCCTGCTGTTGGATCGTCCTGTGGCGGCTGGCCGCTGGCCGCTGTCCACTGCGGTTCGTTGGCTGGCTTTGGCTGTCTCGGTTCTCTGCTCGCCGGCCAGGCAGCGTTTGCATCCGATTTTGGTCGCCTAGAGCCAGAATCGAATGTGGCAGGTAGTTGTCCGGGAGTCTACGAACCAAACACGTCGTCTCGCTGCTAGGCGCCTAGGCTGCCTAACAACCAACTAGAAAGTCATGACTCATAAAGTGTGTCCCTGTCCTTCCGTGTAATTTCCTTGGTCTAATAAAGTGTGTCCCTGTTCTTGGTCTTACCCTCTCTGAATGGTCTAGCCCAGGAAAATTTGGAGAATTTATTATGTCCACACACATGTTCTATAATAATGATAGCCTGGACTGAGGTTAGGTTCCAAGATTAATATTTATGAGAACAGTCCCAGTATTGATGATGGTTTCTATCCTCATTAAATAACTTGCCACGTAGTCAAAATGCTGACATGGCAACGTAGTTAATGAAGAAAGAGAGCAAAAATCATAGAAATGGTTTCCTCATGAAGAAACCAGGTCTTCTCTTGACCCAATGCACCAAGAAATCATGAAATCGTCATTGGGGAGAAACCACTAGTTTCTGGGGGCTCGTGCCGCACTCCCATTAGAGAAAGAAGATAGAGTTGGGAGAGAGAAAGAGAAAATAATTATTACTCATAGAAACTATGGGTTGGAAAGCAGTACTTTTTTTTGGTACGGTATCCTATGTTATAGAAACTACTAGTTTCTTTTATTGAGACTGCCCTGACCAAGAAACTTCAGCCGGTTCATTTCGTCGTATATGATTCTAAATTATTTACTACTAACTAATTTGGTGTGAAAAAAAAATTATTTCAGCTTATAATCCACGATCGTATACGAGCGAGCGAACAGCTGCCTGTTTACAGAGAACACACGAAACCGGAAACCCCTTCAATTCTCTCCGCAACCCCATCCATCTGAAATTCTGAGTGGCTATCAATGGCGGAAATAGTAGGATCTGCTGTGGCAAATGAGGCAGTGAGCAGATTAGTATCATCTTTTCTCTCCGGCGACAAAACTAGTCAGCAGCAGGAGAGCGTGGAGGACAAAGCCGAGAGACTGGAGATGGCGGTGCTGAAGATCCGCAGCGTTGTTGCCGTCTCGGAACATGTCCATATCTCCCACCTCCCACTGCTGCAGTGGAAGGCGAAGCTAAAGCGTGTCGCTGAGGAAGGCGATGATATACTACTGCATGTGCACAAGAAGCAGCAAACCTTGCGGTGCAATCGCGTCGTCAGCAACAGTTCGACAGGTAACTCGATCTCTCAGTATTTGATCCAAGCGGCCAAATGCTTTGTTCCTTTTTGCCGCAAAGAAGATGAAGAGTTGATGAGTGACAACACGCTGCGGAGGTTCGAGAGGCTCGCTGATGGTGCGGACAGCTTCTTCAGGCTGGTAGAGTCTGGCGGCCACCCAAACAAGTCTGTATTTTTGCCGCCGCCGCTAACCAGGGCGTTGATCGCCGGTGATTCGATGCAGTTCTTGATCCAGACAAAAACTGGCAGTGACCATATCATGGTGTGGCCATGGCTGGACCACCCGGATGCTAAGAGTGGAAGTGGATTGCAGGCATGTCTCACTGTGACACGGGAAGATGAAGTTGTGTGGCAAAAAGGATTCAAGATGAGTGTTCTGTTCCGTCTATCGGAGGCATCCAATATAGTATTGGCTATTGCTATGAGCTGCTTGGATGGCAATTGTGCATGGCAATTGTGCACTCGGCCGCGTTTTTCGCCTTTGCCCGCGTTTTTTTTTGTATGGCACTGTGCGCGCGCGTGAATTTTATTTTATTGGCTTGCCCGGAGTATTTGCGCGCGTATTGGCCTTGTATTCGCGCGCGTATTCACAGCGTACTGGCGCGTTTCCGAGCGACGCTTGGTTTCTGCACTCGTACTATTAATAAAACAGAGCCATCCTTATTAGCTTCTCTGCTACTCGTGTGAGCCACAGTACTTCGTGAGCATCCAAGATGGAGTTCGATCTCAATGTTGAGCCTCCATTGGAACATGCCAGAGGTATTCTTTTTGCTTTTCTTCTTTCAATCTACCGTCCTTTCTTCTAGCTACGAACTTCATCAACATGGTGCGCTTGTAGGCTTCTTTGATTTGAGCATTGCTTAATTTTCAATAGGCTTTGATCTGAACTTAGAACCGGAAGACGCTGCTCTTGATGATGTGATAGATTCGACTTTACAGTATGATGAGGAGGCTCCCATACAAGGTACTCGTGCTTGTTCTTTCATGCTTTGATTTGTTCTTTTCATGCGCTTTTGTTGGTAACTACTGGATGTCGTTGCACTCATATGAAGGCACCGGCAGGAAAAAAGACATGACAGAAGAATTCACTAAGCTAGTATTTCAAACTTTGTTGGCTAGAAGCAACAACGGGAAACTAGGGAAGAAAGATACAGCAGAGGTGGCTGAACAATTTGGAATTAGCCTTCGCTCTACTCAAAAGTTATGGAAAAGAGGTAAAACTCATCTTGACCAAGGTATCCCGGTTGATGTTGCTAGTCGTAAAAGAGGTAGGAATGGCCGTAAGAAAATTCCAGTTGATTTAGAGCGTTTGCGCAATGTTCCACTCAAAGATAGGATGACTCTTGAAGATGTCAGTAAAGTACTTGGCATTAGCAAGTCCACGTTGCATAGGTACTTGCAGCAAGGCCTCCTTAGGCGTCACTCTAATAGCATCAAGCCTTACCTGACCGATGCTAACAAAATGGCTCGTTTACGGTGGGCGGTTGACATGGTTGATCAAGGTTCTAGTTCTTGTGGTGATCCAAGGTTTAAGGGGTTATTTGACCATGTCTTTATAGATGAAAAGTGGTTTTTCCTCACACAGAAATCAGAGAATTATTATTTGCTACCTGATGAAGATGAACCCCACCGTACATGCAAAAGCAAAAATTACATTCCTAGACTCATGTTTTTGTGTGTGACTGCTAGACCAAGGTTTAGAAATGGACAATGCATTTTTGATGGAAAAATAGGCTGTTTTCCTCTTGTGACTTATGAACATGCTCAAAGGAGAAGTGCCAATCGTCCTGCTGGTGCTTTGGTTGTCAAGCCGATCACATCGATTACAAGAGATGTGATCAGGGATTTCATGATCAACCAAGTATTGCCTGCAATTAGAGAGAAATGGCCTCGCGAGGAAATAAACCAACCGATCTACATACAGCAAGATAACGCACCATCTCATTTAGAAGTGAATGATCCTTTGTTTTGTGAGGCTGCAAAAAAAGATGGTTTCGACATTCGTCTTAAAGGTCAACCACCTAACTCACCAGACATGAACATTCTTGACTTGGGCTTCTTTAGAGCTATTCAATCAATTCAATACAAGAAGCATGCTAAAACAGTTGAGGACCTAATTCCAGTCGTACAAGAGGTAAATTTACTAATATTATTATTCAAAACAATGTGTTTTCTTCAATTACTCATTGTATGGTTTCTTCAACACATGTAGGCATTCCATGAGTACTGTCCCAAGAAAGCAAACAGGATTTATTTGACACTGCAAGGTGTTTTCAAGGAAACCATGAAGGCTAAAGGATGTAACCGGTTCAAGATTCCACACATGGCAAAAGGGCACCTTGAGAACCAGGGAAGGCTTCCATTGCAACTCACCTGCGAGACTTCCTTGCTAGCTGATTCCATTGCCACTCTTGCTGCATCAAGCAATTAGACTTGTAAGGTTAGGCATGAGAATTGATTCAGCTGCTACTCTAGATTTAACGCATGAAACATGTAGTACTCCAATGCAAGACGTGAGCTTTTGGACCTTACAGTATGGTTTACGTAATCTTTCTTTGCATCTTGTTCTTTCTTTAAATATTGCTTGAACGTCCTGCACCGTCTTCTCCGACGCGACCTCCGCCGTCATCTTTTCCAGCGCGATGGACTCCGGCACCGACGCGATCGAGGCGCGAGCTGCATCTGTTCAATGCCCGTCCTCGTCTTGCATGCAGTCATGCGCTAGCGCCGCTCCGCGTTAATGACCCGTGCGGGAACCGAAGAGGCCGGGGCAAACTCGTCTACTTTAGCCGTGGTCCACTCAAAACGAACAGATATGTGAAAACTGATTTACAGCCCAGAACGAATTGATTTGTGAAACGGAGGGAGTATTGGCTATTGCTATGAGCTGCTTGGAGCTCTTGCCACCTCAATTTGATGCTGCACGCGTGGCCATCAGTAGACTGTTAACTGAAACAAGGCAAAGTGGTGACTGTTCCAGTCTTTCAGAAAGATGGAAATGGTGCTGTCGACAAATTGAGAGTTATCACCGTAATGATTGTGAGTCATCTATGGGTGATGATAAGCATAGAGGCAATGGAGTGCTTCGGTTCACTTCACTTTGTTACGCCTCACCGTGCATCGACAGGAAGGACGGCCTTCCTCTTCAGTTGGAGTGCCATGTGTCCCCTTATCTCTTGCCTGAGAAGCATTCCAGCCAATATGAGCTGGTTGAGCCAGATGTTATCAGGAAGCTGCTGCCCAATGTTACTGATGGTTTCTACGACGATGATAGACAACCGTTGAGTTACCAAAGGCAGATCTGGAGCCCACAAAGCTCCATGTATTGCGCGGTTACTCCAGCCTTTAGGCAGCCATTGACGGTGTCGCAAGCGTACCAGATGGAATGTTCTGGTACCCGTAGCAGGAGGAGGAGAACGGCCGAAACATTTGGCCCCGTTCGACTTGCTAAAACTTGGTTGAATTGACTGAAAACACTATCCTAGCTGATTTATTATGAGAGAAAAATACTGTTCCGACTGAAAAAATAAACTGAATAGTGTGGATTATAAGGTAAGCCGAACGGGGCCTATCTCAATCCATTTTAAAGTTCCAAAAGACTTTCATAGCATCAGTTCCGCATTAAGGACAATGATGTACTGTACAAGGAGGCTGCATGATTGTATTTTTTTTCCTTTTTTGTTTCGATTGATATCAGATACGTATCAAATATAGGTGTCCATCTTATTTCTTCTGTCAGTGTTACTATACCAACAATTCGAAAACCGAGTGGTCCTGCAAGTGTTCAGGGGTGGTAATCTGGATTATTTGACCCTGTAAAATAAGAAACTGGATGGTTTGGAGGAATGCTGGAGGAATTTGTGAGAGAAAAACACTATTTCGGATGAAAAAATAAACGAATCAAGCCGAGTTTAAAGACACGCGACCGGGGCATATAAGGGTTTGCCAGATGAACTTGCAAAACCGCAGCCTTGAGCCGCAACCAGTTAAGTACCAGAATGCCACAATGTTGTTCTTGATAAAGCAGATTAGATCAGTCCGTACTCCGATGTAGCCTGAAGATCTAGCGTCTCACTGCCCTATACTGCTGGGTGCTATTGCAGAGTAGCACTAGCTAGAGATGATACCAATACTAGTAGCCGTGCGCCCCTGAGCGCGTAGAGGTGTGGTTTAAAAATATTTGTAAGTGATGTTTGTATGCAATAGGCCCCGTTTGGCTGGACGAAACTTACATGAAATTAACTGAAAACATTGTTCTGACTGAATTGTTGTGAGAGAAAAATACTGTTTCGACTAAAAAAAGAAGCCGAACAAATCGGCTTCTGAGTAAACCGAACGGGGCCTATACAAAGAGAGCTCTCTGCATACACAAAGATATTCTGGTACAGGAACGCTTTCTTTGTTTGCCTTCGTTGGCCTATTATACAAAAGCAAGCGCAGATTAGCAATTTATTTAGTCGGAGAAGCAGTGCTTGGTTTCCACTGAGTGGCATATTATTCAAGAGGACAAGCACAGAGCAGCATTTTGTCACTGGATGGCAAGTGGTGGTTAATATATTACACAGAACCTGTGTAAATTGAGTAACCTAGGGGTCACTGAGTAAACACTGGTGCTACTGTTCAGCTAGTCGACCGTACAATATGTAGCAAATTCTGGTAAATTAATAATTATAGCTTCATACTGTGTTCAACGATTACCAATCATCTTTCAGGAGGATGTGTCTAATAATTGTTGGTTTGTTTGAACCCAATAATAATTGTTGGTTTTGATAGTAGAAAGTTGCACTGGCTTAAGGTTGTTAGTTGATCTCCATGGATCTGCGCCATGATCAGGGGCGCCTAACTCTAATATGTTTGGTGGACCCCTGTCGCATAGCACTATAAAAGATAGGTGGGGGATCACGGCTCTAACTACGAGGTTGACCTGAGCCATAGTAACCACCTACAGAGAAAACACCAATCCAATCTAAAGAAGAGTGCTGCCAGCGACGGGAAGCCCACCAACTCCGCCGTCGTCTCTACATCGTCTCCACCACACTGGACTCCACCGCGCCGAGCTCCCTCGACACCGGCATCCACGAGGCTACAGCGCAACTACGTCATGGCGAACTAGAGGAACCCTAAGTAAGATGCTTACCCCGATCTACGGTTTAGAGGCACTGTTGTTTCTGACAATGGTATCAGAGCCAAGGTTGCCGGTGTGTAGATCTAGTATGGGGTAAAGCATTGAAAAGAAATCCAAGAAATCATAAGGGTTCAATCCGTTTCGGAATGAAACCCTAACCCTAATCGGGTAAAAGAAAATTGAAAAGAGACCGGGGGTAACGGACGTCACTGAACTCCCGGTCACCACCGCCACCGTGCGGGGAAAGGTGCCGCACCGCCGTTTTCGCCAGCGCGCGGCAAGAAAAGAACAGACCCCGTTCGGATCTGAGAAGAGAAGAGAAAGGGGTCTCGGCACGCGAAGCCGAACCCTAACCCACGAAGCACTCGCTGGGAAAGATGCATAGTGACTCCAATGAG